CTGATCATTCATTACCGCTAATTTGTTTTCCGCATCAATTTTAAAAAATGAACTTTTCATATTATCCAATTTCTCACAAATTAAATTTTCAAAACCATTTACATTTCGGCTTATATCTGCCATCCCGCTTTTAACCGCGATGTCTATCTGAGCAGCAATGTGATCTCGTATGCCAGTGATAGAGTCCGAGAGTTGAAAAACTTTCTTCATCTCTTCTTCTATCCTATTGACGCGCGAGATCAGATCATTCTGCTCGCCACAACACTGACCTGATAGACAGTTACCACATTTGAAAACAACATTTGCATTATCTGCTATTAGGCGCGCCGCAGTCTTAGTGAGTGCCGCACAATTGAAGTGGAACATTCCATTGCACGGACCTACACATGTGACTGGGAGCCCACTAATAGTAATAGACTCCTTGCAGACATTACACACATCCATATTACCACGCCAAATTAAACGCGCACACTGTTAGCAGTAGACATATACAGGGGAAGAGAACACAAAATAAAATTTTACCGCCGCAGCTCACTATACAAAATCAATAGCGCGCTGGGGGGAAAATCAAAATTAAATCCAAAACGAGTTGCTAGGCAACCGTTCTCTACTTATCCTGTTAAAAACAACACAACGGGCACGCGTTGGGATGATCCTTTCGCGGCACACGGCACTATTTCACACGAAATTATGTATTTATTTCCACAGCACAACTCAACAAAAACACTACTTTGTTCGCCATATCACGGTGCTATTAATTGTTACTTTGTTAACTTAATTGTCTTCGGGATCATACGGTTTGCTTCATTGACGTTCATAACATAATGTGTTATAATTCTCAAATATTACGTTATACCGTATGCGTGATAATGCTTGCACCATCGTACAAATAAAGTACCCGTTTCACCTGTGCATACAATTCCTTGGTTTTCTTTGCATGCACTTAACCGATAGCTCATACCGTAGTAGGCTGTGTATAAAAGAAAATGATTTACTTAGTTTGACAGTTGCACCATGTCAAAGTGGCAGCGTATTCGTGATTTGTCCAACGCGCAAATGGCGCAAAATCGCCGTGGGAGTGTCCCGGTGGACCGTCAAAAGGGTTTTAGACCGAGAAAAGAAAAGACAACTATTCGCGAAGGTGGCCACAGGTCGTCAGAGGTCAGCTTGGGTTCCGAGGGTTATCGCTGCTATCAAAAGGAAGCACTCAGAAGTGGTTGCAGGAACATCTTCCGTTCTGGGCGAAGGATATGTGGCCGCCATCCAGCCCCGATCTTAATCCGCTGGATTACTCAATATGGCGCGTCATGAAGACCCAGGCCTGTTCTAAACGCCACCCGAGAACAGCAAGCCTCAGACAAACATTGACCCGTACCTGGAGAGAAATGGATCCAGACTACATTATTAGAACCTGCAGTGCATTCCGGAAGCGTGTGGAGGCCGTAATTGCAGCAAGTGGAAACTCGATCGATGATTAACATAGTTGAATACTGTGAGAAACATCCCGCTTTGAATAAATAAAAAAAAAACTCCCAAACGAAATTTTTGAGTTTTTTTTTTTAATTTTGACATTGCTCAATGGTGCAAACATTATCACGCATATGGTAGGGTTAACTACCCCATTTACGGCCTATTAAGCACAACCCGCACTTAGTATTTCTTAATCTAGCGCAGTTTATCACCAAACGGAATGTTATTATAACTGATGGCTTGCAAATTTATTTACCTTTCCATAAGTACCGTAAGATTTGATAAAGAGAAACCAATCGTTGAGATATTGTCAAAAGTCTAACACTGCTTCTTGACGTCAAACTCGGCCTACAGATTCTAAACTCGGCTTAACGCATTGAAACGCCATTGAAACGCCAATGAATTCACTTCGGCCTATCGGATGAAGATAAAAATTGATTCGCTGGGAGCGCTTCTTTTGTTTTTGGGAATAATCGATCAAACCTTCATATCACGCGTTCTCATTGACTTCGCTCGGTAGCTTATTAACTCAAGTAGCTTACTAAACGCATTATTGGCTTGTTAACTCTGAAATCAAGGATTCATTTGAAGTTTTCTGCTCGATAGGCCCAAAATGGGCGATTAGGCCGAAGTAGTTCTCTACCCTATGAGCATTGCATTCGCCTATTTGGAACTTTCCTTTAGTCGTCCTCTTTTTTAGAAGTTCTAGAAGAATATCTTATAACATTGCTGATATGAACGACTAGAATAAGGTCGGGCAAATGTTCAAGAGGGGCAAAAGTTCGTTTTGAGGTTTTCAAAGACCGTGTAATATAAAACGCAATGTTTTGATACTTGATTGTGATTGTTGATTTGGGCGGAATTATTTTTGTAAACAATCGCGATAATCACCGATTTCTAGCTCAATCTCAGAAAGGAACTACAATAAAGGAACTTTTATTTGAGAGAAATCGGTGACAGGTTTGTTTTCAAAACCAATTACGCTAAAATCTCATATCTCACCGGACTTGTTTGGAAAGCTTTTTAGCTCTAGACTTTCTCAATAAAAAAATAGTGTAGCGCAAAATATAACAAAATTCGGAGAAGATAATCGATTAAAGTTGATAGGACCTTTGTTTGAAAAGTTCATCTAGATATATTAAACTTCAAATTTTACCTCTTTTCGTTTTCTACCAAAACTTTATTAAAATTTAAGTCACAGATAAACATACATAACACTTGCATGTTTTTCATCGAAAGCACTTTTGACGGTCAATTTAAATTGCTCTTTGTTGGTAGTGCCATCGCCTGTGGCGCGCATGTCACTTCCCTAGCCCATGACAGTGTGGTCATCAAATAGCAGTAGCATTTTAGTGACTCTGTTTTACAGTGAAAAATACTCATGAAGCCAGTTCATGAAAGCATCATGGAAAATGATAAATATACCTCCATCATTTTTCTTGTCTATTTGGTATATGTTGCAGAGATGCGCAAAATATATCAAAACGGCCAGGCCTACTGTGCAGCATTTAAGGGGCAAGATGATTCAGAAACATCGGGCCTGATTAAGTCAAAGATTTAAACACAATGCTTCAGAATCCAATAAATGGATGAAACGTGGACACCTCGTACTGTACGTTCCGTTGTATTGTTATTTATAAATGATTGTTCGTTGGGAGCATCTAGTCTAAAAATGTTAAGAGATGCTCCATCTTCCTTTAGTGGCCCGGACATGAGCATTAACTCTTGTCCTAGCCCTGTATGACCTATGGTTATAGACCATACAGGGCTATGGTTACTCGCTTTCTGAAAAGAGATGAAGGAAATGAAAAAGGGAAAAGAAGATAGTTTTGTGGGCATCTTTAATCCTCTTAAAGATGCCCACAAAACTATCTTCTTTTCCCTTTTTCATTCACCGAACCGAAAATTAAATTTCTTTTCCGGTGCGTTTTTATTTTCCCAAAAATACCAGAAAAAGGATGGGAAATACAAGAAAATCAGTTCGCTCTTTAGATTCCTGAGAAAATTCACATCAAAAACGTGTTTTCCGTCTCATCATTAAAAAAATTAGACACTCAGCAAAACCGAAAGGTCACTGTTTCGTGTTTTTGAGTCCAGCTTTATGTCATGGTGACTAGAAAATGTTTTTGCACATGAATCCTCCTTAAACAATAAAAAAAAGTGATGTCTTCAAGGTTGCAAATACTCATTTCAGCTAAAATAATGGTAAAAAAAAATCTATTTTTTTTTTGTCATTAAAGTTTTTAGCAGATTTTATTTTAAAGAAAATTTGTGATTTTTTTTTTCAATGTGAATTACTTTCTGGAAAGGCAATGCAGTTTCCTACAACTTTGTTGCATTCGTCATTTTGATTAGATTTCGTACTTTGATTTATTGGAAAACATCAAATACGCCATTTTGAAAAATTAGGACTGATCTAAAATAACCGAGTTCCAGCACAACGTTGGCTCATTGCCCTTAGCAAATAATTACGCGATGTTTCATGAAGTTCTGAGGGGTAAAATCTAAAATTTCCTTATTTTTTCGCTATGTGACCAAGAACTGCTCAGTAGAAGCTGGTGGCTGAGCAAAAACAAGAAAATCTAGCAAGTAGACAAAAATTTAACCTGCTAAATAACGTTCCATGAATTCTGATGCATTTGGTCCAGGTAATATTGAAAGTTTTATCGAGGTTTTAAAGCAATCTACAAGTCTAAATCATGGACTACAGAACCCTTATAAAACCCAAATTGTTACTTGGGTGGCGTCTTAGTGGAATACATGTATAACGAAAGAGAGAAGGATTAGAAATTTCCATTTATTCCACTATCTTATTTGTTTATCCTCTGCGTATTTCATGCTTATCCTCTGCGTGTTTCATATTTCACGCATATAAGGTAGTGAAATTAATTGAAAATGATTAATCCTTCTATCTTTATTTAAACATTCTATGTTTTATAAAAAATAACGTATACTAAACCGGGTATATGCAAATCTTTCATGTTGGTTGGTTATATGACTCCTGATTGCTGGTATTTCTTTCCAATGTAAACTCAACCACTTCGTGACAAACACACATACTTTAATTAAGCACAACTTGACACAAAGTTATAAACTTTAAATATTAATTTTGCAATAGTCTTTAAACATAGACGTATTTCATGCATTTTTGTTTAGCACAAAGGCGAGTCACGTGGCAATTAGGAACAAATGGGTTATGTGCTTAGTTTGAGACAATAGCTCATTGGACATTGAAGCCAACTTGGATTAACTAAAATATTGATCATAGCAATATGCCATACAATCAAAACATGATAATCGACCTTGTTGATCCCTTCTGAGCCATCTTGTACCATCACACTGTGTGCCGTATTATTCCCTTTTGCTAACTTACTTGATTCTTGGATCGTTAATTTATTAACACTTATATGACACAATACTTTTAGGCACAAAGAAACACTAATTTCAACCCTGTATTTTTCAGGACCACTTGACTTATGTTTCAGAATAATTGCACATCAATCGGCGTTAATGGTAGTAGCTCTTGAAATGTTCTAAGCTTGTATAAAATATTTTCCTTATATTCTATGTCTTACAATAACAATAAAAAAATCGATGCTCGAATCATTACTTTGTCTGGTGCTCTTTATTTGCTAATTGATTTATTAAAGCTAATTGCTGCTCGTAGTTTTTTTCGAATCCTTGGCGAAGACCAACGCGATGTAGTCCCACCAGGCCCTCGCAGGGCACCGAAGCTTTTTACGTCACTGGTGGCAACGCCTTCGTCCACGTCATCTGCTTCTGTTTTGATTTCCATTTTCTGAAACGATAGTGCCGGTAAAAAGTTATAAACATTGAATGGCCATTGCCAGGTTGCGGTTAAATAAGCAGAGTATTGATGATTTAAATTTCTCTATGCATGATTTTATATAAGTGATTTTATTTTCAAATTCTATGATTAAAGATTAATGAATAAACTTAATTTCAAAAATATAATAAATGATTAATCATTGCAAAACAATTAATACTGTTAGTGATTATATGATTAATCAATAACTCTCAATTTAAAAGGTCATGTGTATTTTGTATTTGTTTTTGCTGAATTTCGACCAAACCTGATACATAGCAAATTGATTCGACTTCTGTGCAAAAAGTTATTATTTTTTACTTTAGGCCTTGGATGATGCGATGTGGGTTCTATTCAATGTTGGCAGTGCTATTCTTTACCATTGGCTGGCAGCAAGCGTTTATGCCTAAAGTTTTATGCCTAAAGATCAATCGTGACTCTACGATTGTTTGTTTACCTTCGTTAATTCGAGAATGATTAGAGTGAAGGAAAATATACCAATTTTTAATGAAAAAAATTAATCAGTTGTTTCGATATGTTTGAAACAATGTGGCTTACATTGTCACTGCATCACACTATTATTATAATGATTTGAGATAAACTTGAACATTTTGACGTAGGACTACATTTGTGATTTAAATATGGGGGTACACTTTGTGAAAACCAAAAATGGAACATGTAAGAAAATTATGAAAGATTTTGAACGTTAATAACTCAGCTACCCCTGAACCAATTTCAATAATTTTATCACCAATCGATCAGATATATTTCTTCGCATCTGTTAAATTTAAGACTTTATCATTTTTCAAAATGTCACTATTGAAAATTGCACGAATGTGCCACTGTTGCTTTGATAGTTAAAATTATTACCAATTGCCTGTGAAAAGCGATTTCCCTAACACAGACTTCAAAGTTGAATTCCATCCGGACTCTCCAAACGGTGTTTATCCAATCACCGCGTGGTGAGTGGCGGTGTTCTCCAGTACACAACGAAAGGCTCCCCGCAAGCAGCCTGCGAAAAGCGATTTCCCTAACACAGCTGTCAAAATTGAATTCCATGTGGTCTCACCAAACGGTGTTTAATCAATCACCGCGTGGTGAGTGGTGGTTTTCTCCAGTACACAACGAAAGACTGCCTGCAAGCAAAGAGCTGCAGCCCACATAAGCATCTATAGAAGGAGGAAGAACCCGTACCGCTATTGATCGGAATTAGTAGCTCTTTGTGAGTTGCTGTGGGCCATCTATGTCAAGTGCGTCATATTAAAGAGTATAAATAGAAAGAACCCCGCTCAAATTCCTATTCCTACACAAAACACAAGCTCATGCTGCAGTTAACAAATAAGATTTATTATTTAAGGCCACGTAGTCCGACGTCACCATTGCGTTCAACCCCATAAGGGCAGATGCATTAATTATGTCGCGCTGAATCGAGCAAAAAATTACCCCCTCCCCCCTATCGTGACGTTTTTCCTATACCTAATGCATTGCTTGTCACAAAATCTTAGACCTCCCCTCCCCTCTTAGAGCGCGACATAATATATGCATCAACCCTAAGGCTGTCCCTTGTAGTTTTTAATATTGATGGACTGCAATACTTATATTCATTTCGTCACACCAAAAGAGTAACAGATTGATTGAGAGTTCAATTTGACAGCTTGAAATTGGATCGATTTGGACCGTCTCCGCATCACCCAGTTTAGCTATTTGAATTTTGACAACATTTTGCCTGTCTTGATAATTTTTTAAGTCTCAGGTTTGCTTAAAATTGTGCATTTTTTAAATTTTTGACAATCTAAGTTCGCAAAAGTTTCGTTCGTACATTTAAAGTTCTTCCGTAAATCCAGAACCTAACAAAGTGAGTTTAAATTTGGCACAGTTGCTCAGGACCTCAATAAAGAGCAGTAGGGGCAGAAGCATTAAAATATTCATATACTTAGGTAAACGTAAACCTCTTAACAGAATCTTACTTTCTCAAATAGTTTGGTGTTCTTAAAATCATCAAGATATTTCAATGCCATTTCTGTGAAACATGGGTTATTTGGGCGTTTTTTAAAGGTTGTTTTGGTGATTACAGGACTTTACTAGCATTTAATTTCAAGACTATTTTGGTGATTTCAAGGTCATTTTTGCATTTTTTTAAATGTTTGTCGATTTTTTAACCATTTTGATGTTTCTAGATCGATACACACTAAGAAATGATTACCGATTTTGGTAATTTTTACCGAATTTTCAAAAGCTGAAAAAAATCAGGCATTCTAATTCATGAGTTTTAAAGCTTCAAAACAAGAAAACTTCACCCCAATGGCAAGACTGTATTATTTAAACAAGGCTGACAGTAATTAGAAATTAAAATTTAGTGAAACAGCTTTTGAAATGAGGGTCACAATTTTACCGAACGTTCAGCTGTTGAAGCAGGGAAGTCGGTAATGATTTCTAAATGTCTAGGTCTGGCGAAGACAGATCGTAGTCATCCATCGGTTGTCACCTCTCGATGTCAAGTTGGTAGTACAATTTTTTCGTTTCTCGTAAGCAGTTGAAATGCGATGTCACGCGACGTTTTAAAGCTACATTGCAAGTGCACCGATAAAACAACTGTTTTTGTTAAGTTCACATTACACAGTATTTCGAGTTCAGTTGTTTAAGAAATTGCTGAAGTTGAAAATTTAGAAAAGACGATTCAAATCATAACATTAGATAATTGATAAGAACTTAATAATTTAAAAAAACTATTTATCTCATAATTATGAATCATTTTTTTTCCGAAAAAAAAAAATAACGGGTGACTTTTCACTCAAATTTCAATACCTCCTATCTGTCCCCTTCTTAAAATAACAGCAAAACTGAATTGATTTTGCCAGTTAAAATTGGTTCGAAAAGTATTACGTCTTCACCAGACCTAGTTTATAAGTTGTCTGATCGTTTTGGAGATCATTGGCCCATTTTGGCGTATTTAAAGTTATTCTAGGTTATTTAGTGTATTAAAGTTATTTTGGTAATTATAGGCTAGTTTAGCTATTTTAAGGCCATTTTTTTGTATTTGTCGGTGTGTTCATGATTATTTTCAAGATTTTCAGGACGTGTTTTACACCATTTCATCGTTTTGAAGTGTCCCTCAATATAATTGGAATACTACTCATGCGTTTTGAAGTGATTTGACATTTAGCGGAATTTTATCGTATACATCTATTTTAGCTTATATACCATTATTCTGTAGTTATTATTTTGTATTTTGTTTAGATCATTTCAACTTTATTACATTTGTATTCAATATTGGTGGATCGCGATCGTATGGAATTTCTCAAAGTGGGTAGCAATCGACAAAAGTTTGGGAGCATTGTAAAATTTATCTGAAACTCACGTCTTGGTGGTTATATTTTCTTTAAATTCGTTTAAATGAATACTTTTATCAGTATTCGTTTATCAATACCGTAAAACGGGGTAGCTTTGATAGTTTTTTGTTTGCATATATTCAAATAGATTTTACAACAATTAATGTTTTTCAAATCTGAGTACTGAGTACTGAGTATCCTAGAATAAATTTGTTTGTTTATATGTTTAATGGAAATTATTGCATTTGCACTATTTTTGTTGTCGTGTGATCAAACATAATTTTTGTTTGTTAAGGGGTTACTTTGATAATACTCGATGAAACACATGCTTGTATCTTAAACAATTTAGTTCAAGAAATATGCAACTTTGGATGAGTATTTAATCAGAAACATCATAAGCAATAAGAAGACAATATTGAATTTGTGATGGCTGTGTCGGAAATACATTTAATAAGTGATTGTTGGAGTGTCTTTTCAGTCAGGCGAAAAACAAGAAAATAGTTATTTTTAAAGATATTTGGTAAATATGTAAAATATCTTTAACTATTTATGTTTGTATTACTTCTGGTATAGTTGAAAATGCTTAGTTTCAAATTACAGTCTTAAAGTGGTAATTTTTATACGATAGATGAGGAGATGAAAGTATAGAGTTGATAATTCCGTTAGAGTACGGCAGTGTGAACATTGTATATAGAGTGTAGAAAGCGAGCAAGGACAGCTTTGAGGAAGGTACGAATCCGGATGATCATCTTTCTTTACCAAACTCCCCAGTTCGAGAGGGATGGTGAGGGGTATCTCCCCCCTCAGCCACCACTGGCAAAAAGAGATGATCAACTCTAAGCTACAAAATGAAACTAACGTTTCCAATTTGGAAATAGTGCAGAGAGTAAATTTAATTCATTATATTAAAGCTACCAAAGCAGTATCAAAGATACCCTGTTTTACGGTACTTGTAAGTCCGATATTGTCCAGAAGAATATATATTTTTGAAATGAAGGGCAATGCACAGCTGACTGTTAGAATAACTGATGGTATTATGTGTTCCCTTACGAATTTTTGAGAAAATTGATTCTGAAAATCATTATATGCTTTAAATTATTTCTGGCACTATTTCTAGCACTCTTGGAAAATAGTTTTTTCTTAAACAATAATAAACAATATTTTTAGTTTAAATACAGCATTTAATATTGCAAAACATTCTTGATAAGTAGTTCAGCTTTATGATGTTTTAAAAACCTTTTGAAATCTGACGATAACGTCAGAAAGTGTCTGGTTTTAAAATGAATTTAATGCAGCACTCTATCCTTTTATTAAACTGTTCAGTTAATCAATCAAATACTCCATAAAGGTGTTTTATCATAATAAAAGGAATTATAAAACCGTTTGGTTTCAAACGGGATCAAAAAGGATATAGGGAAAATGGATGTAATGTCAGCCTAAATGCCCCTAATTTGGGCCCATACATAAATTCAGCAATCAACTAAATTTTCAATAGCGACCAAAAATATCCATTAGTACCGTCCCAATGACGCGTTCATCTAGATAAAATTGATAAATAGCAGCCATTAATAGAGCCATTACCCCTATTGTTGCTTTTTAAATGTCAATATATAACAAAACTCTTCACTGCTTACAAATTAAACAAAAAAGATGGATCCGTGAAAGGGTCAACTGTTCCAAAAAATCCAAGCAAGCGCACATAAACTTCATCGTTTCATCCGGGAGAAGGGAAACTTTTTGGGAACGATTGTACTTCCACTTGTTCCATGTTATGTAGATTCACTTCCTGATTGATGGCTGCCAATGGATGAAAGTCGCCCTTATCGAGTATGTCCCGCAACTTGTTGATCCATCGCTGGAGTATAACCTCTTTGAAATGATCACACAACACAACTATCGAAAGATAAACAAGTTTTGACGTTTAACTTTTCCAGGCAACTTTGCCATCATTAATGCCGTCATAAAACTGTACGGAAAAGGATCAAGCAAAATGGCTTCAGATAAAATAAATCAGTTTGAAAATTATCGTCATAAAAGCCGCATCAAAACGTTTTGCATGTGTTAGTAATTTTATGAAAGCAAAACAGCTTTTTTTCACAAACGGTTTATGGAAAATTAATGTCTATGCTATCGCCAGATTGTTATTATTCCATTTGTTTTTTACTGCCTATGGCTTTCAAGATGTTTTTCCTTGAAAATAACTTTATTCCCATCAATTTATCAATGAGCAGTAATAGACACTACGAAAATTATCAAATTATCTCGCAACGATTAATATAAAAAAATACTATGTTTTGTTTCCTAAATTGAAAATAACTAGTAAAATCAACGTTTTCGGAAGGTTGAGTTATTTTTTTCTGATCTTCTGAAGTTTCGATAGTTTTGGTATTTCTTTCACTTTAATGATGAAGAATTTGGCAATATCGGATGATATTTATGGATCTTTTTTCATCTTGATAGATGCTTTAATTTTAGTTCGCTTAGCAAGCGTCAAAGGCAAATGGCACAAGTATTGATGCCAAATGGCATTTATTGCAGTTTTAATAAGAATTTCAAGTGTCTCTCGTACAACCTTTTTGCAGCAAATCAATCTTGAAGTGCCTTGAAAATATGCCCTTCAAAACCTTCTCCAGGGCAGGCCAGGCAAAGCTGTCAAAGGCTTGTATGAATGATCTTTTATAGTAGTCTTGTAGTACTTCATAAAACGTAAAATGTTACTTGGGTCGTTACGAATGTAGTTTTTGAGTTTTGTTTATTACATTGGACGTATCTCGGACCTTCCGCATGAAATATTTCGAATCTGTTCTCTTAAGCCCATGTTCCTGCTTTTGAGGATTTTCCGATTTGACCCGAAGTTCACCCAACTTCTCAAACACTTCAGACTCGTTCCCAAGATTCCATAAGCCTTTGAAGCCATTAAGCTTCTTCAAGGGAAACCACCGGATCCGCTTTGAAGTCCCTTGGACCAGTCCAACACCGGATCCGCTCTGATTTCCCCTAGACAAGCTCATAAAGTCCTCAGAATACTTCCTGAAAGTTTTCTAGGTGCATCATAGTATACTGAGCTCCATTGTCGATGTCATCAGAAGCCGATATCTACAGAAATTCTAGGATAGAAGTGAAAGTGTGTCAGCCTGTCGTGGGTGGAAACGAAATCTGAGTCATGCAAACGTTAGGATTGGAAAGCAACAGGACTTCGCAGCAGAAGCAGACGCAGGGGGCTCATGGTGACGGAGCATGAACAAGGAAATCAAGAAAATCGGCAGAAATCGAACCTGGGCCAATTGCATTATGACATTTACAAGAAATTTTATCTTGTAGTTCACATTTAAAATACATTGAATTACAAGTTACAAGTACACTGGAGTCGGTTTTCACGCAGTTTCCCCAAAAGTCGCTTTTTACACGGAACACGTTTTTTTTCTCGAAACGGTACATTATATAACGAGCTTATTTCAATCATATTATCAGTTTTGGGCCAAAAGTAATCAAATTGCGTACTTAGAAAAAATCACAATTTTTTGGTGTAAATCTACATTAAAAAATATTGTGTACTGACTCTACTACGTTAAAATTACATGAGTTAACATTAGACTGGTCCACACAAAAAAATCTAATTTTCCATGGGCCGACCCCCAGATTTGTTCCTTTAGGTGGAAAAACCATACTCTGAAAGATTCAGTTCATTTGGTTGAAAAATGAGCAAACGCTTTAAGTTTGAATTTTGTGTGTGGAATTTGGATAACATACATGAAAAAAAATGACACTCCTACACACGATCATAAAAAAAAGTTTCAGATTTTAAAAATAATGAGTAACAACTTTGCTGGAGACTGGTTATCTCATCTAAAGACACTAGTCTGGATGTTGGCCTGTGTAAAATACGAACTGTTAAGGGATTTTCTCACCATCATTCCATGCAAATGGGAGCCAACATAAAAAAATACGCATTACATATCTCCTGCCCCCGACTACAGTGTACTTGTAGATTTCATTATGCAATAAGCCCCTGGATGGAAATTTTTCACGTTGGTCCTTTTTGCCCCTGGATGTGCACAGGAGTGAGTGAGTGAGTATTGAATGTGAGAAAGTAAATGTCGCTCAAAATAATAAATAATGCATTGTGTCCCTAATTATTGTACCTAAGGCTGAAACAAACCAAAACAACTGATAACTCGCTTACCTGCACAATCAACCGGAGGAGTTGATGCTGGCTATCTAATGCAGAACTTATTTCTCTTAACTTTCGTTTTTGTTTCTCCAGCTCAGTAGCCACATAGTCTTCGTTATTATCCAGTACAAAATCAATTCCTCCTGTAGAACGAGAAATCGGTTATTTGATTAGATTAAAACGTCGTGGACATCATGTAAACTAACCTTTGCATTCGTCGGTGAATGGATTACAGAACCACTTACGCAATACTGAATCCAGAAATCCCAGTTTGGATTTCTTTTCGTTTGGATACTCAATCAGTTCCATCTTATCGACCATTTCGAGCCACATTTGAGGCAACTTCCGTTCCAGTTCCGTATGTAAAACCACTTGCATAGCCAACCGTTTTAGCTGGGCATTTCGTCGAACCGATTCAATATCACCGACTGCCAAACCGATCAGTAGATTCATCAGCAGGATTGGCATCAGTATCATGAAGAGGCCTGAAATTGAACAAATGTCGAACGAGCTATATTACTGTGTACGCATCTGCACATGACAACATAAACACGAGAAAAATTTAATAACTGTCTTTCTTACACAGAATCGCGAACGATGGAATGGGATACAGGAGATGATTTTGGTAATAGGGCTGCACATATGTTCCGAGAATATCCATCTCTCCGAGCATCATGGAAAAGGTTCTCAGTAACGACATCGGGATTGATGCGAACGACAAGTGGTTAACCTGTGTGTCAGCCGTCCTAGATACCTAGCGGCACGTGCATTTCAAACGAGACATTTAGTAAAAAACAAAGGTTTGTTAACCTCCATCATGGAATGGCGTATGTATTTCATTTGATGTTTGCTGTTGCAAAAATGTTGCCGGACAAAGTTCATATTTTGTATTACGAATATTTTACGATTTCATTAATTGCAATAAGATTTAACTACATACGAACTCATTTAATCAAAACTTTAGCAAACCAAAGTACACGTGCTAGGAAATAATTGGTTTTGTAATGGTAGCACAAACCAAGTGGATAATTTAAATGGTGCAACTTTCAAAGAAAACAAACTGAACATGATAAATTGTGTTTATGCTACTTTCACGTGTTTGCTTTTTCATTTGCCAACTAGCAAATATTCTTTTGATCTCATTTCGCATAATTACAATCAGCAAGCACGTTCACATGGCACAATTTCGTAGAACTTACCTTCGACAAAAGAATGTAGAATGCTAGGCCAAAAGCAATTATCAAAATTGAAAATACCGTCAGCACTTTTATGAGCGTTTGAAGAATCTCCAAAAACATCACCACATAGATTCCGACCTATTGGAGAAGGAAGAAATGAAAACAGTGTGGAATCAGTCAAATGACACTTGGTTAGGAAGATGGTTTGCTTTAACATTTTAAAGCTATATTTCCTCGTTTTAGTGGTGCAGCCAAACAATTTCGGGGTGGGTTTTCCATGCTATGTTTTAAAATAGACCAAACATATGCTCTGTCATTTAAGTACACTCTATCCATTTTTCACGTGATTTTGTTTTCGCCTCTATTTTTGATCGAGAGTGTGACTTCAAATTGCAACAAATTTGAATGCAATTTGTTTTAAAAATCACAGAGTAATAAATAATAAATATAATCTAATAAAAAATTGATAGTATGAAAATATGTTTTAAAACAGAATTTGATATAATTTCGATAATATTTTGATATCCGGCTTTGCTCGGGTTGGTAAGATACTGACCTGGCACAAGTCAAAAGAAGTTTATATGGATATTGCTATAATAAATCCAATCTTTGTGTTCATTGTCTTCTAAACTTCTTCGATATTCCACTGTTAAAAAGTACTATAACAATTCTTACGGAAAATTACAACTTTCTTATTCTTCGTATTCTTCTTCTTCGCATTTCAAGCTTATTGCATTTCGCATATTAGCTTATTGCTTGCTCTCAACTTAGTGTTCTAGATGCATTTCCACAGTTATTAATTGAGAGCTTTTCGATGCCTGTACCATTTTTGCATTGGTATAATTGTGTGGCAAGTCCAATCATGCTTCTAGGCAAGGGAAGTCGAAAAATTTTCCAACCCGAAAAATTCCTACACCGGACCGAGCATTAAACCCAGCCACATGGTCTTGCTTTGTGCTGCACTACTGAGCAAAGGGAGGCCCCTACAACTTTGCAGATATTAATTGTTTAAGAAATTGATAATCTCATGACATGATCAAGCAGTTATCTTGTGAGCAACATTGTATTCTACAGTATAACATAGTAGCCATGATTTTTGTGCTCTACACTGTAAGAAAAAAGTACTTAACGGCCAGTTAACTTTTACCTACTTTTGACTAGTTTGTCTCCTTTTCTCTTTCTAATGTTGTCAAAAACGGAGGAGCAAAACCACAAAACCGGGGTAGTAAAGTGTGGGAACCCAACGTTGAGTATAATCTTATTTACCTACTTTTGGGTACAACTAACTTACTTTTGGATAGAAAGCGAGTGGAACTACTTGTTAAAACTTAACTTATCGTGTATTCTACACGCCTGAAACACCAATGTAACCAAACCTGCTGAACAGTTGATAAGACACCAAAAAATTGAATCATTAATAACTTTCAGTCCGCATCGTGCTCTCTTGCCGTGTGGATCTATTTGAATTTTGCTGAAGGAAGTGTTGTTTCTACCTAAATTTACCAGCACTTTTCCGTGCCCAATATACCTGTACATTTTGTTCCTTGTTTGACTCTTATTCCTCTTTGATCCTTGTGTGGACCCTACCCGAGGTTATCCTGCTTGGATATCGATTTGGAAAATTCCTCTTCGATCTTTCAGATTCTTATAGTAATCTGCTTGGAAGTTGATTTGGATAAAAAAATTTACTGTCGCTATGGCGCCTAAGTGCAAAAGAAAAGGGCAATCTCTTGATCCCCCTTCTGATGAATTTAATTTGAGTAATCAATTTGATTTGCTCACGGATGATGAGAATGATCCATCATCCAGGAAACATTCTAGTAAACTTTCCCGGCCTAATGCCAAGATAACCACTTCTGATTTCCATGCTCTTCGCACGGAACTTTTGAACTTCGTGAAATTTAAGTTTTCACTGCAAATTGGCCGTCGGGGTGAATGCCGCATATTGGCTGAAACCTTGGACGGATTTGTCTTCTCAAGTATCTTACTGAGAACACACACAAATTTTTTACTTACGACACAAAAACTGAACGTGTGTTCAAGGTTGTCATGGAAGGACTGCCCAGTTATGAATCCCTGGATCAGATCAAAGATGAACTGGCAAAATTACTTGGAGTTTTTCCACTCCAAGTAATCAAAATGAAATGAAATCCCGTCCTGGAAGTGCGCGCACCGGGATTTCTAATGATTTTTATTTAGTTCACTTCAAGTCTAGTGAACTAAACAACCTTAAGGCCTTGGAAAAAGCTAGCCTTATGCTCCATGTCCGAGTGAAGTGGAAGCACTTCAGGAAGACTGGAGGAAATTTTCAAAACCTCAACCAGTGCCGTAAGTGCCAGGGGTGGGGTCACGGAACAGCTAAACGCATGAATTGTGGTGATTCCTCTCACGCAAAGGACGACTGTCCTGTGAAGGAAGATCATAAGAAATTTAAATGATCAAATTGTGGTGAAAACCACAAATCCTATTTTTGGGAATGTAAGACTAGCAAAGCGATCCTACAATCCCGTTCTAAGCAACAGGTAGGAAACGCTCCACGTTTCCGAACAGTTACAACTTACTCTGCTGTTAACAACGGTCAGCGAGGAACAAATTCTACATTCGTACCCGTAGGTACAAATATCACCCCTGCTTCAATTTTTTCATCTGTAGGGTTTTTGATCTAATTTCCGTCCTACTAAGCACAACCCGCGCTTTACCTCTCTTTTCTGAACGAATTTAAACAAAAAATGGAATATTTCTGTCAAAGATGACTTGCAAATTTATTCACCTTTCCATACGTACCGTTGGATTTGATAAAGAATCACAAATTGATGAGATATTGTCTAAAATCTAACACTGCTTCTTGATTCTAAATTCGTTCTACGAGTTTCAATTCCGTCCTAACGCATTGAAACGCCATTAGATTTTCTTCGTCCTACGGATAAACGTAGAAAAAGGGGATTCGCTAGAAGCGCTTCTTTTGTTTTGAGAACAATGAGCGTAAATATTCATACAATGCGCTCTAACAGGGTTTATGTTGTAGCTAATGAACTAGCGCATCGGAACAAACCTATTATTGATTTGTGCACGGTGAAATCATTGATATTATTGATCTTTTCTGATCGATAGAACGGAAATGGGCGATTACGACGAAGTAGCGCTCTACCCTACCTACTCCTCTCGCTGCTAACAATGTTCAGCGAGTTAATGGAGCTATATGCTATGCTGCTATTGCAGCGGGTAGAAATCAAAATACTAACCAACGTAATTCTAACGGAAATTTTGACAATTTTGACTTAGGAAGCATTACTGCCCCATTAATTGACATGATTACTGATATGCTTAAAACTAATTCCATGTTTGATGCTATTCAAACTGGAGTAAAATTAGCAAACAATATTGTCATGACTTTGAAATTCACTAATGAATTTTAAATCATTAAATATTTTAAATTGGAATGCTCGATATCTAAAAGATAATGAAGACGAGCTATTTAACTTTTTGAGAGTTCATAACGTGCATATTGCCGTTATAACTGAAACGTTCCTTAAACCTGACCAAAGGGACGCAAATTATTTCATATATAGAAATAACCGTCTTGATGGAGTCTTTGGTGGCGTTGCCATCATTGTTCATAGACAAATCAAACATAAAATTCTTTCTTCATTTGAAACCAAAGTTTTTGAAACTTTGGGGAAACACAATTTGGACAACTTATTTGTAGCAGACTGCAGAAAAGTTTAGATATTTTCTCTTCTTATGTACAAAAATGGAAGATTTCTCCCAACGCTTCCAAAACTCAACTTATAATATTTCCACATAAGCCTAGAGCTTCCTTTTTGAAACCTAGTAGTAGTCTTAATATCTTGGATTAGTACTTGACCAAAAATTAACTTTTAAACATCACAATGAAGGCATTCAAGCCAAATGTAACAAATATATAAAATGTTTGTATCCTCTTATAAACAGGAAGTCTAAACTTTGCCTGACGAATAAACTTCTAATATTTAAATAAGTTTTTAGACCGGCCATCATTTATGCTGTGGCGATATGGTCTAGCTGTTGCACTATCAGGAAAAAAGCACTTCAAAGGATTCAGAACAAAGTTCTGAAGGTGATTTTGATGTTGCCTCCCTAGTACAGTACTACCGAGGTACATAGAATTTCGAAGAATTTCTTCTAAAAGGAAGAAATGTCCAGGAGTCGAGTTTCGAACGCATTTGGATAGGTTGTGTATTAAGTTTGTTCTCTGTTTTGTGCGTGCATTCGCTTTCATAGTTTTCGGCTGAATTTGCCGGATTAGCGCTGGCACTCTGCCTCCCGGACGGTTATACGTGTGTGAGTGGTGGTTTTCTCGCTTTCCGAGAAGTTTTAGAATCCATCATGTTTGCAAGCATTAGAAGATTTAACGCTATCTGCGTTGTTTGATTTTTTCGCCCGGTCCAGAAATTTGTGGCATCGCGAGTGATAATTTTAATTTTAGTTTATTTACGCGGTGATGATATTGGTTCACTCGCAACTATTTTTGAAAAAATTCGAACGAAAGTGTACCAAAAGTACTTCTGAACGTGTTTCGCAGTTGGGTGTGGTGAAATTCATGCATTCCCGTTTGATTTTGGAAATCCGTATCACAAAATTGCCCACCGATTCCTTTTTTGCCGTTCGACGACGACGGGTGTGCTTTCGCAAGAGTGACGTTTATTGGATCCGTTTATTTGCACGGGTGTGTTTTTTTTTGTAACTACCGTAAGTGTGCCTGCGATTTGCATCGACTGACGGAGATTGTGAGTAAGCTGAAGGATGTCTCGCTGGATACGCCCAAGACTGGACGGGCGGTAGCTGATGGCCGTGAACGGTTCCTGGGGAAAACACTAGATGCGAACCTCCTCCCAGATGACCATGGCAATACAGGAAGTATTACAACAAAGGTAATTGCTATTAGATATTTTACAAACAGTGACAGATAGCGGACATGAAGAACCAGCGGAGGTGCCGGGCAAAGGTGTTTATCCTAGACAAATGGTAAGTTACAAATTCGCTGTTGTCGTTGTCGTAGGCGCCGTCGTAGTCGTAGGCAGTACCGTTAGTATATATAAAATTAAGCATCAACCGCTGAAAATATGAATTATCGCGTATTTCTGTTGTTCATTACATTC